TAAGAGACAAAACTCGATGGGAAGATACGATAATCTTAGAAGTCGAGTCTAAGAGGCAAGGCTCGATGATAAGTTACTATGCCCCTGGAGGTTAAGCTCTATAGACATGACTCGATGGGAAGATACGGTACCAGACAAGACTCGATCGGAAGATGTCATACTCCTGGAAGTTGAGCCTGAGAGGTAAGACTTGATGGGAAGATACAGTATCCCTGAAAGTTGAGCCCAAGAAATAAGACTCGATGTGAAGATGTCATGCCCCTGGAGGTCAAGCCCAAGATGCAAGTCTTGATAGGAAGATACAACACCCTTGGAAGTCGAGCCCAAGAGATAAGACTCGATGGAAAGATACCATGACCCTAGAGGTAAGCCCAAGAGGAAAGAGTTATTGGGAAGTTATCATGCCCCTAGAGGTCAAGCCTAAGAGGTATGACTCGATAGGAAGATATAGAACCCCTCAAAGTCGAGCCTAAGAGACAAAACTTGATGAGAAGCTTTCATGGCCGTGGAGGTTAAGCCTAATAAACAATACTTGACTGTAAGATACGGTACCCCTAGAAGTCGAGCCAAAGAGGCATGACTCGATGGGAAGCTAGTGTACCCTTAGAAGTCGAGCCTAAGAGGCAAGACTCGATGGGAAGCTACTGTACCCCTGGAAGTCGAGCCTAAGAGGCAAGTCTTAATCGTAAGCTAGTAGCGAATAGATCCTCACTAGAAAGTCTCTAAGAGAGTAAGTGTTTGACATGGTCTTCAATCAAAGACCTCAGAAGGCTACTAGCCTCAAATGACACAGGTACATCAAAGAATTCAGAAGGCCACAAGCCTCCTAAGGCACATGTACATAAAAAAAATTAGAAGGCTGTAACCCTCAGAAAACACAGGTACATCAAGGACCGCAGAAGGTTACGAGCCTCAAAAGTCACCGATGCATTTCTAGCTTCTAGAGGGCATAAGCCTAAGAAGACGCAAGCCTCAAAAGATACACGCCTAAGATGATACAATCTCAGAAGGCACGAGTCTAAAAAGGTACGTGATTTTTTTTATAAAATGCACATGCTAACTTTAATTGCAGAAATCTACACTATTAAGAAGCCACAAGATCCCAAAAATGGGTAAATCACGGTTCAGAAGCAACAACAAAATTTTTATTACTTCAAGCAGAACATACAGACAGACACATCATCATGTGCGAGGGTTATAATAAGTTAGCTTATCTTCGAGTGAAGTCAGCATCGCCTCCCCAAAATTTTGTACTGATCTCCAACGGAATGAAATTCTCCAAATATCGTCATTGCAGCAACAAAAAATCTCCCCTCGTGGTGCGGCGGGCAAACTCCGGTTTTTCTTCGTCTCATTTGGAATGCGCGACAACAACTCAAAAATCTCCCCAAAAAGTGCTGTGAAAACTACAACATTTCTTCATTACCTCTAGAATGTGCAAAAACAACACTAGAATCTCCCTCAGAATGCTTGACAACATCATGAAAGATCCTGTTGATCATTTGCTACGTAGGACGGTGACAAATTTCTTCTGTATTGCAACTCGAAAGAAGATTTCATTGGTCGTCTGCTAAGTAGGCCAGGGGCGACTTTCTTCTGCACTGCAACATGAAAGAAAATCCTGTTGGTCGCCTGCTGCACAAGACGGGAACGATTTCCTTTGCATTTTAACTCTAAAGAGGATCCAATTGGTTGTCTGCTACGCAGGTCAGAGATGGCTTTCTTCTTATAGGAAATCTCAGATCACTTGCTGGTAGGGATGGGGACTCCACCTCCATCCTTATATCCTTTGGCTTTTTATAGGTTCCAAAATCATTAATATTTATGGCTAAAAGTTATTGCATTTCATTAAAATAATAATTTAAAATTGAAATTTGCATTAATTCTCGTCCTTCTACCTTCCAGCTTTTGAGATTCCGTCATATGACCTACTTTCCTCAATCCAAATTAAAAATAAAAAATAAAATTTTTTAGATATTAAAGGAGAAAAAATCCTTTATATCCTCTTATTTAATTAATACAAATTAAATACACTTAAATTACTTTTCAAACCAACTTTATATATCTATGTGTGTGCGTGTGTATAACTAGTTAATTAAAATAAAATCACCTGCTATTCTTATTTCTCACGCGGGAATTATTGTCGTCATTCCCAAATTTGCTCGCTTCTCGTTGTTACCTATTCACATCTCCACATTAATACTGATGCATTTACATGTATACAACATTAATCTTAATGTTTAACGAATTTGTGACTTTTGCATGCATACCGCATTAATCAAGATGGCCTATGCAAGTCCCTCCCATTAATCCTTAAAAGCATGCCATCAACACTTTTGTGTGTGTGTACATACATGCATATGTATACATATCTATATATATATATATATATATATATATATATACAGAAGACATGTTATGATACAGCTGAGCATCAAAGAAGATTACACAAGGATTTTCTCAAAGAAATTCATCACAATCGAGGGCAATCATATGAAATTGCTCAAATGGACCCCTGATTTCGATCCCAGTCAAGAACCCCCAATTGCGTCTATCTGGTTCTCATTACTTTAACTCAAACTTCAATTCTTTGACCCACCTATCTTATATGCAATTGAGAATATTCTTGAAAAAGCTTTGCAGAGGACACCTATGAAGCTTCACATTTCCTCCTATAACCTTTCCAAACCATCAGTTACAAGGATTTTAATTGAAAGAGATATTACACTACCAAATGTCGAGGAGGTTTGGTGAGGTACTGAACATAATGGGTATTGACAACCCATTATCACTAAACAAAGGCGTTGCTATTGTAACCATTGAAAAATGTTTGGGCATTTTGATGAGAAATGCAATAGGTTACATCCTTAGCTTAAACCAGATGGAGCCACTAAAGATCTTGATTTAAGATCTGTTGTTTAGGGCACTAAACCCTCAACTTCTGTTGATATTTCTTTGCAACAGAATACTGCATCAATTTAGAAGGGATAATATTTAGACCGAAAGTCAGGATAGCCCCACTGCTCCTATTCAGAAATCATCAGGTGCAGATGTGACATTTCACACTTTACATACACTAGAACCTGTCGTTGTGACAATGATTGCCTTTCCTTCTACTACGGTTTTAATATCTAATCAGACCGAGGATTACATGAGTCAGTCTTCAGATGAAAAATGACAGATTTACACTTCTCGGCGGAAGAAGGCTGGGGTACACTTTGGGGTACTCTTCAACTTGAAAACTTAATGAATGACACTTTGGTTACTCCTAACAATGATACGACACTTCAAAATTTTTTATCTGACTCCGCTCCTAAAACTAGAGGAAGAGATAATACTAAACTGACTCATCCCTAACTACTTGTTTTATGCATGTTTTAAATTTTTTTTTAGTCTATCTGTATCTTTTTGTTGGTGCAGTACTGTACTTGGTATCGTATGGGTAGGGTGCCTCTATTGGATCCTCTCATACAATCTATTTCAATAAAATCAGCCTGAGCTTTTTATATATATATATATATATATATAATTAGTAATTGAACTAAAATCAAAATATATATATATATATATATATATATATATTACTTTAGATCTTAATATTTTTGGACGACGACGTTGATCTCGCCCAAAAAGAGGGAGCAACTGATACACCATCAACAAATCTTTATCATTTGACACAAATCTCGATGTGCGACATGAATCTTGATACAATCTTTTGAGCAAAAAACTTTCAATTTTTGATTAATAGTCATCTAGAGCTCCGATTTCAGCAAACTTACAGTCAAACTGATTAACTCAACATGATTGACTCAATGATACTAAAATGGGTCCATTCCAAGTCAAATTAAACTCAGATCAAGCCATTAAACCACTTTTGGAAGCTTTCTTGACACATTGGGAATGTTAAATAAGTGTCAAATCTGGCGAGCTTATAGTCGAATCAAGCGTCTCGGCAAGACAAATCTAACGAGCTCAAGATCGCTCGATTCTGACTTTTTTAATGCACTTAAATGTTTATTAAACGCTGTCTGATCAAAGGAAGTTCCCCGGATCATCCGATTAAAGTGGTTCATATTCATGCATTAATTGCACCCGAAAGTCTATAAATAGAGCCCTATCTCTCTCACGAGAGGGAGGTGAGCTTGAGACTTGAGGAAGAGCGAAGCTTTAAAAAGGGCTGAAGTCCAGCACAACTCCTTCCGTCGTTGACTACTGCCAACCGTCGTCGACTATCGCTGATCGTCGTTAACCACCACCAACCACCATCGAGCACCACCTGCTTGCCTCCACCGATCGCAATTGATCACCGTATGCTCTTTGCGACAAGTTTATCCATGCATCGACATTGTAATTTGGAGAATTTTGTAACACTTTTCCGCTTGTGGGACAAGAGGTTTCTTTAATCATCAACTTATAGTGGATTTTTACAACTGGGCTAGGCTTTATGATTTTTTCCTTTTCTAATAGTCGTCTTCCCTCTTTTGAGTGTGTGCTCAATCTTCATACCACGCTAAGACGATAATATATCACTCTATTGCCTCAAATTTTTTAGCACACATCAATTGTATATATATTTCTTAATTACATCTCCACCATCGCAATTAATACCAATACCAACCGGCACTTGCCTTTCTAAGTGAAATTCGGGATTCCACTAGCTATGTGCATCAACAGTGTTAATGAAATAAATCTTTGGGAAAATTTAATCAAAATGGAAACTAATTTCTGAACTTCTTCATCTTTGAGAATTCACTTATACTTTTATTTATCAACATGATCATTTCCAATAGCAGAATTGCAATTTAATTATTTTCTACGATTTTTGAAATAGTTAAAATCTTGTGTATAATTTATTTGGGTGACTTTGCACTTTGATCTTGTCAAAATTTGGTTATTACAGTTCATTAGATTAGTTAATAAGAAAAATTTCCTTTCTTTGTTCTCTTTTGTCATGTGTCAATCGAAAAGAGTTATTGATGTGCTCTTTTGTTTTATTGCAGTTTGTCAGGAACATCCATGACATGATGGCAAACAAACTGTACCAGCAGTGAGCTAATTTTACTGAAATAAAGATCTGCATCTTAAATATAATTACTTACATCAAAAGTTTGCATTGTTGAAGGACAAACTGATTTTAACTACTGAAACCAAATTCTTATATAGGCCGCAGAAGGAAGGTTCCTTCTCCATTAATGACTTGATGGGGTTTATTACTCTTGAAAAGAATGGCAAAACTCTTGATCTCTTTGGTGGAGAAATCTCTACTGATCGAATAACTGCAATTCAGGACGCATACTGGAGCATGGCATCTGCTTTGTCTGAGGCTGATGGTATTGATTATACTGATCCAGAGGAGGTGCGAAGCCGGCAAGCTGTTTCTTTTTTTTTCATTATTATTGATTGATCACTTTATTGGGCTTTATTATAGCTCTAATTTTTTCGAGCTTCTTTATGTTTGATTTTTACAATGCGAGAAGCTTGAGTTGGTAATTGCGACTTTGATTGATCTTGATGCAATGGATAGCAAAAGTAGTGTCTCATTGTTGGCTGAGTGCTCCAGCTCCCCAGACGTTAGTACAAGGTATATATTTATGAAGGAATTTTACATTCACGCTACACTATTCTTATGTATTTGCATAACTGTCACTTAAACTATTATATTTCCATTTATAACATTTTGGTGTAATAAGCCTATGCGTGAAAAGGTATAATTCATTTTAAAAAGTTAAACAAAATTGGTTTGTTGATGTGATTTAAAGATTTGAGTGCATGCCTGTAAACATGAAAGTTTTGGTGTTGGATATGTAAATACATAAGAATGGTGTGGTTTGTAGATAAATGCTCCACAGATTTTGTTTCCCCGTTTCGCTGTCATCTTTTTTTTAGGGTTGTTTAGATCGAAAATTTGATTGTAATAGGGGCTATTACTTCGATGGATAATGTGACACCGTATTGCTACAATCCTTTCTTAAAATATTCCTTGAGATAATTGCTCATTATTTCCAGTAGAGGCCAAGGCTTTTTGAAATGAGTCAAATAGGATAGTCAAGCCCATCTTTCTTTTTGCATAGGGATTGAGTACTGATAAATAGAAATGCACTGATTAGGTCATCTAGATAAACATATAATTTGAGATGATGATAATTAGAGCCTTAATATATAATTTGATTTAAGGATTAATTCTATATGTAAATATGCCTCTATTAATTCATTAATTGTTATTCCCTTCCCAATTACCTTATTGTTGTCTTTATATAAGCCTTCAATAATTCTTGCCCATTTAAATGAATATATTATGTATATAGGAATTTAAAAGTTTATAAATGATGATTTAAATCTCATTCGAATTATGTTTGAATCTCTTTCATTTTTAAAAAGTAAGATTCTCTTTTTCTCTCTTTAATATTTAGGAGTGTTCATGTTGGAATAGAAGAGCACTGCTTATAGATTTATATAACAAAAAAAATTTCATTCGTTTTATTGAGTTGGCATCACCAAATTTAGTCTCTACAATATTATCATAAATATGGTACTGTTTGATGAAAAAACTTGAGTTTTGAGTTGTAATAATTTGTCTATTAATTGTTATTATACAATTTCTTATTTTATAGTCTGATTGGTTATTCGAAACATGTTTGCATACAAGATTATAAATTTAATACAATAGAGTGCAGTCACAAAAGCTGAAACATAAATAAACTATAACTTGGATATAGTGGAATGCAATCATAATATCTATATTAGAGTGTAGATTATAACTCTGACATGATAGAGTAGAGCCATAATATTTATAATGCAAAATACTGTAATTTCTATATATTAGACTATAACTAAGTAAATATAACTTTGATGCAACACAGTACAATCATAGCAAAATTTAATTTCTCTTTCTATGTCTCAAGCTACCATTCAAATACTTGGTGCTGATGAAACTAGCTCTTTCTATTCAACTTTATTTACTTAAGCATGTACTTAAAATACTCATCTAATTACTATAAAATTAGAAATTCAAATTTTTAAAAAATTTTCTATGTTCACATATTTTAAAGAGTTTTAGAATCCTAAATTTAAACGCACTTTATTAAAGCTAGAGTTCCCTCAACCCTTTCAAGGAGATCAAGAGCATAAAACTACCTAACTTTATTTATTGTATCCTCGCCTCTAATATGTAACCCGAGCAAGATAATGTATCTTTATAAGTATGATTAGAGTTGATATTTGTGTACATACTAAACCATCTCAAGTGAACCAATTATATAAAAGTTAATGAGTGCAAAACAAGTTCAACTATATTTTTGTCATATTTAAATCTTATTCAAACTAGTTTGAAGATAATCTTGTTTTTGGATAAAATTCAAGCAAGATTTTAATATCGTTAAAAACTGGTATGTGTTTAAATATGTTTTGAACTTATTTTTGATACCGTATGAAAAATATCGAAGGATATAGCACTGTTAAAAATAAACTAGAAGAAATAATCTCTATTGAATAAACCAAATGACAAAGTGTTCCAAGCTAGGTTTTAAGCATATTAATATACTAAGCATCAATTAAACTCTAATGCTGATTAAAAAATAAAGGAAAATGGGACCCACAAGGGCTGCTGACCTCTATGGACGGGATAGATCTCGAATAGAACTATCCCAAGCCGGAAATTTCTTGCTATACCTTACTGGGGTTGGCATTTCCCATCTCAGTATCCAACCAATGAAGTGATAAGGAGTCATAGGGATGCTTTTGTGTCAGCTAGTCTTTGACCCCTCTCATTGCTTGCAGAAATGTGGTGCCTGGAACTCTGGCTCCCATCTCTATTTAAGTACTCATGAGTGTTGATTCTTTCAATACTAAAGTATGTGTTTCATTATTTGATGAATTTTAATGTTCTTATAACCATCATGAATCATGTCCTTATGATACTAGTCGACTCAACAAAATGTGACATGCATCTATAGGTAGGCCATCACACCACACTTACTTCTGTAGCTTATCTTTAATGAAAAACTCTACTTATAACCTTATGACACATGAACTCCTTTCTTGGACCGAAAGCGGGACATAGCGAGGAACTTGGATTGGTTTTGTAGCGTAGGAATAGGGTTGGTTGGCCCTCCTTTGAGCATAGGGCTTGCCGCCCAATAGGAGTGGGGCCCCACTTAACTATCCCCTTAATTATCCCAGTATTATATATATATATATGTGTGTGTGTGTGTGTGTGTGTTATTTGTTGTGTTTAGGTCAATTTTGAATTTATTTTTCTGTCAGGATAGCCATCAGCGTCCAAGTTTTTCATTGCAAAGCTGTACCCAGTGACGAGTGGTGCTCTGAATTTCTCTCGTCTGACGTGGTGGTTATTCTCGACCCTTCCATATTGCACAATCCTCCCTTTTTCTCCTCTCATTGTCGCCAACCTCTGATCCCCCTACTGCTATCTGCCACACGTCAGTCGCTTCCTCTTCCTTCTTCCTCTTTCCTCCTCCTCCTTCCTCTCTTGCTGCCAACCACCTGCCCTTGTTTGCTTTGGCCTGTCATCATTCCATACACATATATCCCCAAGCGGCAGCTATCCTACCGCCACCTTACCACCGCCATTATCCCAAGTGACATTTGTGAGATGTTATCTTTGTTATTTCAATTTATATTCGCGTTTCTTGTAATTTCTATTTGATTTATAACAATAAAGTGTATTTTTCGTTGTTGTTTGGGTTAACTTCAGTATCATTTGTTATTAGAGCCAGCCTAACCTTAGTCATATCATAAAATTTCTAGCATCCATCCAAACCCAACCCTACTTCCACCTAATAAGTATTTTGTCTCATCCTACATCCCTCTACATACCTCATTCCACGTAGCTACTCCCAAACTCTTATCATGACACCATAGAGGTAATTGCTAGAACCGGATCAGGAGTTTACCATGGAAGAGTTATAGCGACAGCTTCACGGAGTGCTACAACGACTCGATGATATTGACAAAATCACCCATGACGAGCATTTTAGCGAGATCCTAACAGGAAAGATGGAGGAATATTTGAATCCCTTCCATAGGAATTATTCCATTAGAGAAGAACACAGGACACGATGCTTTGGGATACAGTATCAGAGGAAGCTAAGAGATGTAGTGCTTGCTAGAGAATAAAACAATGAAATGTTTGTTAGATGATAAATACATGAAAGGCCTGTTTGAGGATATAGTGATGAAGTGTCTATTGGAGGATACAGAGATGAAGTGTTTATTAAAGGATATAAAAGCTCGGGATTGAAAGCAGATATATCAAATTTCGAGTGGAGAATGCATCCAGATGATTTCATAGAGTGGCTGCAGATCATCGAGATGGTCTTTGAATATAACAAGTTACTAGATGATCAAAAAGTAAAACTAGATACTATCAAGCTGAAGAAGAGTGTCTCATTGTTGTGAGAGAACTTGAACAGGAAGAGAAATATATAAGAATGAAGCAAGATTTCTACCTAGGAGAAGATGAAGAGAGAGTTGCGGCGATAGTCCTACCCTCTTACTACAGTCATGATCTTTTCTCGAGACTCCACTACCTACAACAGAGAGATTTATGAGTGAAGAACACAACAGAGTTTATGTAGCTTAAGCTAAAATGTGATCTGATGGAGTCAAAGGAGCACAACTAGGTACTCAAGAGAGAAGCTTGAATCTCGCCATCGGTAATAGGATCTAGCTACAACTTTACTTGTCTCTGGGTGACGTTTAGACCTTAGCATTGAAGGTGGAGAGATAGCAAAAGTAGAGCAGACACCCATTACCATTCAGATAGCCACCCGCAGTTAGAGTCATTAGTAGGAATATACCTCATGAAGTTGAGAAGACTAGTCAGAAGAAGGATAGAGTCATTCAAACTGTAAAGAAGCCTGACAAGAGTAGCACGTCCGCTATAGTCCCAACCAGGAAAAAAATTATATGTCATGGATTTGGACATATCGCCTCCCGCTGCCTGACAAGCCAAGTTGTGCTCTTCACCAAACACGGTGTTGTGGAGGAAGGAGCGACAGAATAAGCGAAAGAACTTGGGCGAGGAGTACCAGCATCCATTGAATGAGGGCGAGATGCTGGTGGTTCGACTAGTCCTTCAGACTAAGGCTACAAGGGAACACCAATGGTTTCGCCATAATATATTCTAAACTTGTTGCACCGTGAAAGAAAATATATGCAGTCTCATAAACAAGTTAAAGACTTTGATACCAAATGACACTGATCTGAAATACCTAGATAGTGTCTAAGGATCAAGGGTATGGCTAGAATAGTTGCAGGATGAGAGTACATGAAAAATAGGCTGAAATAAAGGTGTCTGGGAATGATTCTGAAGGCTATAATAGTTATTTTTGGTGAAAACACCAAAGGGGAAGAATATCGATAAGTATTCAAGGGTATTCAAAATTTGGGAAGATCCACTATTTAGACCAACTAAAAGAGAAGAGGATATAAGACTCCAGATGGAGAGAAAATGGATAAATAAATCTTCAATAACATTAAACAAGCCAAAAGTCCAAAACTAGGTTCTAGGCAACATATTTACTTGTCCCAAACAAAATAAACTTAATAACTAATTCGAAGTAAAATATATAAGGGTCCAAGTGGGACTGACCAGCCCTTGGAGGCTGGGATGTTGAACCGACCAAGGGAGTAACAAAACCATACTCGAATCTATTTTTGAATCTGTTGTAGACGCCCGCATCACCATGCTCTTGTAAGAATTGCAACTTAAATTTGAATTTGAAATTTTTATTGGGATTAATTCTAAATCTAATCCTCTAATAGAAACTTGTCTTTAAGGTGACATTAATTCTAAAGCTAAACCTCCAATAGAAATTAATCTTTAATGGGATATCTATCCAAAATTTGTACCTAGAATAAAACTTGTATTTGCAGCTGGAATTGAACTTATAGTCATATCTGAACATTTATAAGAATCTATATCTCATCTTGATTGTGATTTCAAGCGTTTTCGTGGAATTGAATCTCTCCTTAATGTGAATATTAGCTCAATGAAAACTCCTGAATATGAAATTGAACATTGAAAGACATTGAATGTGTAGTTGAATAAATCATTGTTGTAATTGATGAGTCTAGTGAACATTGATAATGCACTTTTGTTATTTGAAGTAAACAATTTAGGCCTGCAAGATGACAAATATATTAAAAATGCTAATTTATCACATGATATTGTTTCTAGCAAACTTATCTTTGCCGATCTAAATTAATATCGATTTTATTTTAGTTTTAGGTTTCTAGACTTCATAACTACATCATTAGTGAAAATCTAAAATTGCATGGTTCTTATGTTTGTATATGGTAAGTGCCTTAAAGAAACTTGATCTGTAGTTCTTTTTACCTTGCTATGGTAAGTATATTTATGATAATCAATGAAGTAACTTGTTGAACCACAACAAATGATAATTAATAAAATTTTAGTTCAATGGAGCCAAATATTTTTAAGCCATACAGGATGATGTAAATCTGTCTTCCATTATATTGCTCATGTTACAGCTTTGGACCTCTTGCTTCCACTGCCTACAGCTGTTTCCCCTGTTGTTACTGCTTCACATTTCTTCCCTATTCACCATACTTTAATTACTACTAATTGCTATAGTCTCGCTACCCACTTCATGCTATTTGCTTCCATCATTACATGGGACCTACCATTCGTGTTTCTGATTAGTCCGTCTGAGGTTATTTCCTTTCTATTTTGATAGTATCTTAAAGGAAAATGTAATTTTGATTTACAATTCAATCATTAAACTTCTTATGGAAAGGTGCCTACTGCTAAATTTTTTAAAGGATAAATTGGAAAATGTATTTGAATAGATCTGAGTGGATCTTGAGATGTTTTTTATTTTAGGTCTTCTGTATATTATGAAGAGCACCCCGGAAAGATAAAATTAATTGAACATAGAGCATTGCAATAATGTTTTCGTTTTTCTCTTTTCTTTTATTTGCATCTGTTGGATGTGTATTATTTTGAGTAGTTCTCATGCGTGGATGATTACTTCTTGGTGAGTCTTTTTGTAGTGCAATGAGGTTTGGTTTTAGCAGCAGGTGATTTCTATCGATATTCTTGTTTTAATTTAGTCAGTCTCTATTTTGTGCGCTTGATTACAATTTTGTTAAGTGAAATATTTATCAAATTTATTTTTGAAGTGTGAAACTGAATCATTTATTTTCGATTATTATTTTTAAGTGAAATTTAATTTTTTTTTCATATTATATTATCAGTAGGTAGATAATTTTCTCTGCTTAATAATGAAAGCTCTTATTTTTGCTAAAATTTAAAAATTGGCAGCTTGCGTACTATATATACATATACACACACACACACACACTATCTGTATGGTTCATGTCAAGTTGCATTAATAATTGTAAATGTATGGGATGTTATTTTCAACTGCAATAAGTTGATGATTGAGAGAGCTGTAATTGGCTTATCTTGTAAATTTTGTTTAGCTTTAGGAAATGCTAGCAATTTGTTTTTAAGGCAGTATCATAGAGATATGGTTTCTGTCAAGAAATGCAAAATTTATGCACATACACTTTTATTTGTGTTGTTTTGTATTGTGCTTTTGCTTTTTTAATTTGTGCGCTTAGTTTTAAACTCTCAATTATCTCAGATTATTCCTCTATATGCGTGAGATTTTAACTTCAATCTTTTCTAAGAATTTCTTCTGTTTACAGGAAAGCTCTTGCTAATGCGTTGGCCTCAGCTCCCTCGATGTGGATATTGGGCAACGCTGGCATGGGTGCATTGCAAGTAATTACTTGGAACTCTTAAAATCATTAACGGCTAGTTTTTATTTTCTTTCAGTAGCTTGGAAGTAAATGGAGCTGAGTTTAGTTAGTTTCATATTTGTGCATCATGGATTATACTATTTAATTGCTATTATGGATAAAATAATATTTAATTTTATGTCATATTTTATTTTTTTTTTATTTTGAAATATAAAAATGAAGGCGATTTCAAGGCCTCTATAGGTGGAATTCACTTCTTACTCTAAGTTAAGTTTCAATATTAAAATCTCACTTGTTTTCTCTTTATAAAATAAACAGACATTAATTCTCAGTTCTATAATTTACTCCCAATCATTTTTGGGCAGTTCCATAAAAAGAAAAGTAAAAGAACTCCCTCTCTAGCGAACCATTTACTACCATTTTCTTATAATTTTTCTACTTTGTTTCTTCATCCAGAGGCTGGCTGAAGACCATAACCCTGCTGTGGCTACTGCTGCTTCAAAAGCCATTAATGAGCTGAAGCAGCAATGGGAACTCGAAGAGGGAGATAGTCTGAGATTTATAATGAATCAACATTTTCAAGAGGATAACACAAACGATGTTTCAGAGGAAGACAAGTAATTTATGCACAATTTTTTAAATTTCCATATAATTCATAAATCTTAATTGCAGTGTTAAATGATACACAATCTTAGTTTTAAGGCAGTTGTGAATGCTCCAGCAAATACTACGGCATTTCTTCCTAGCCAATACTCATAACATGCGCATCACTGATAGAATGGCCGCTTAACTGCTCAGGTTAAGCACCAATGTTAAATACTACCTGTAAAGAGCAAGCAATTATTTTGCGCTCTGCCCTCAGAAACTATGGAAATTAAAGCAAAGACTTAACCCATTCTTTTTATTGTCATTGCGATCATCTTGTTAACAGTCTAGATATTGTATCCTTTATATCTACTGTAACATGACATATATATACTTTAGGATCATAGATGCATTTCTCATGTTAGTTTTTCCTAGCTTCTTCACATTTCTGAGCTACTTTTTGTTGTCCAAGTGGAGAAACTTATCTTTGTCCAATGAAAAGAGACAAATACAAAGTGATCTTCCACATCATAAGGTGTTTCTATCTGCTAGAAACTTCAATTCAAACATGAATCTACTAATCCAATGATATATAATCGGTTACGTTTGTGCGTAAAAGTTTATCTTCGTGTAATAAGAGTATGATTGATACGTTGAAAATCATTTTCTTTTATTATTTTTCAATTTTGGTACTCAATTATATATATATATATATATAGAGAGAGAGAGAGAGAGAGAGAGAGAGACGTGTGCCCGCACATTAGAAAATATTCCTTCTGAAGACCGCACTTCCGGGTGACCAACCATCAGCAGCCGCATCGCCATACGCATTAACCGCGGGATATGTGGCTGGCGGTGATTTGCCGTGCAGATGGAATATTTTTTTCACTCACGTCGAATGAGAGCGAGAGATGCATGAAAATGTGTATGCTGTTTTTTTAGAAGTTATTAATAGTTATATTTTTGAAATGAGACTGAAAGATTTGAGTATTATAAATGTTAAAAAGTAAAGTTTAGGAAATAAATAAATAAATAGGAATTGTATGACATGTATGTAGATGCCTCGTGTATATGGCATATATACTCGCATCTCTTCTGTACATTCTCATCACCTTACAAATACATTAAAACACTATCTATCAAGGAAGATGTATTTTTTGTTCTGTAATATTTTGTAAATAAATAAATTATTATTCTCGTAGGGATGATCGAGCAGCTCGTTATTGTGTAGTTATGTGTCGTGAATGAGTTATTTTATGTCTATAATGTAATTAAATATTAATCTTTAATTTTTAATTTCTAATTAAAATAATTTTGTTCACATTACTTGACCTTGGGCAACCTGATTGATAATGTGTGACTATTGAAATTGTGATCTAATATGTTGGTGTGATTACATACTTGTTTTTCATCATAAATATTTAAAGGTTGGCAAATAAAACCATGTTTTAAATTATGTGATTAATAATAAAATGTTTACTCATATTATTAAAAAAAGACTACATTCAAAATTTTAAGATGAGATAAATTGCTTTACTTTACTCTTTTAATATATTAAAATTGCAACAACTAAATCTTCCAAAATGACATTCTAAAATCTATTCTTAAAGACAACTTCCCCCAAAATATTGAATGCACTCCCTTGTCAATTATAATAAAGTAACATGCAAAAAATAAAAATTATTTAAATGAAAAAATAGAATTTTATAAATATATAATCATGCACTCTATATGGTGAAAATAATATTGCTCTCTTGGACAAAGATGCAATCATGTCGACTAGGAAGACTTAAAATATAATTCGTAGATGGATTCTTCTATGGTCTAAAAGGAATGATCAAGAAAATGTATTTTCTAAATCTTTATTTTATCCCCTTTGCTTTTTGGCATATATATCATAAGATTGTTTCTCTTTCAACATCTCTAATGATTGTGGGCTAAAAAAATTATGTATGAGGGTTTATGATTTTAAACATTTCAAGATGCTTTGTTATCCACCAAAATGAAGTTTTGTGATTACAAAAATGCTTTGTTATCCACCAAAATGAAGTTTTGTGATTACAAAAAAAAAAAAAAAACTCTCAAAGATGTGTTTCCTCTACAAAGATAATTATCAATGACCTTTAATAAGCTCAATAAGAAAATAATTTTAGATTTATGCTCTAACTAAAAAAACATAAAATCAAGAAAAAATCTCACCACAATCCCCAAAGCTTACACATTTAGAATTCAAAAGTTTGAAAAAAAAAAGCCATTAAATAACTTTAGATAGCACATCAGCAAGTTTGTTCTTCTCTCCAAGTTGATGCTTAATAATAAAAATAAGATTTTGGAGATACTTTATCTATTTTTATGCAAAAAATTTAATTTTTTTTTTTAATGATGATGAACTTTAGGGCATTGTGATTTAAGTTATGAATAAACTTCTCATGTAATAAGTAGTATATCTAGGATTTGAGAAACTAAAAGATAGCATAATTTTTTTTTCTTATATAGATGAACTTTGTCTGGCATTATTAAGCTTTTTATTAAAGAAGGCCATTAGATTTTTCTTGACTTACTTCTTATGCTTTCTATTAATTTAACAGGAAATTTCAAATATTTTGTAAATTTAGGGAGCCTAAGTACTAGAAAAGTGTCATAATAACTTTAATTTATTCCATGGCTTTATTTATAGCTATAGTCCAAATAAATCTAACTTCTTTAAAATTTCTATGAGTGGAGTTATAATGGTGATAAAATTTCAAATAATTTTCCTGTAGAAGGGTAAAAGTCAATATAAATTTCTTCATATTTGTGAATAAGTTAGAGGTTTGTTAATCTCCTATTGCCTTCAATTAAGATTGATCTACTTTCAACCATATAACATATACAATAAAACTAAAAAAACATTCAGGTTGGTAAAATAAATATTTCCCAAGGTATAATTAAGCCATACTTTTGTTAAGTTCCTTAAGACTAATCTTACATGGTTAAGATTTAACTCTTCATTAAGAGTTTAAATAAGTATGTTACCAAATTATATTACCAAAAAAATTACAATAAAGGGTTCTGAAACATTGTTCACTAGTCTCATAAAAGTGTTGTGTGTGCTAGCATATATAAAATGTATAATTAATCAATTATAATGATCATCTAGGGTTTAAAAATCATTATTTCATTCATCTCTAGGTCTAATTTTGATTTGATGGTATCCACTTTTAAATTTATCTAAGAGAAGGGGTTAAATCCGACAATAAGTAATATCATGTCATCAACTCTATGAATAAAAAAAATTATGTTTAATGATGATCTTATTTCTTACTTTAATATAGGTATACATTCTTCAAATACCATCTTTACTTAGTGTTAAAAGGATAATAACTATATTAGGACTCAGGCTTTCTTGGATGAATCCCTTCTTTAAGAGATTCTCAAGTTAGCTCTTTAGCTTATGAATTTCCTTTATGTCATCCTATAAAGCGAAAATTTTGAAATTTGTAAACCAGAAATCAAGTTTATGGAATATTGAATATTTCAATGATAACACATATGGTAGATACTTATGCATTAAACTATCAATATTGATTAAGGATCCATTTCTTTTTTGATGTCACTCCTATGATTAAATATAAATTTGTTAGCTAAATACAAACCCTTATGAAGACAATTGGCTTTAGCCTTAAGATCTTAAAATGTGTGAAAATTTCAACTACTAACATACCTTTTGTCTTTAGGACATTGATTATTTAAGTAAACTTCTTTTTGTAGTTTAAAGTATAATATTTAAACTTAAGCATCTCTTTCATTTCTATCCAAAATAGAAACATTTTACCTAAATTTTCCTCTTTTTCTAAAATGTTATTCTAATAAAGATGATTATTTAGAAGTTACTCATTCGATATCAATCAAGGAATTCATTTATTTGGGTGAACCACTCTAGAAATATATTAAGATCATAAAACTACCATAAATTGTTTTTTTTTTGTTATTAACTCATTAAAATGGTAACAATTCCTATAATTTTCATGTATAGTAAGATTTTTAAATTATTTTATCAAATGTGGATGATCATTTCTAATGTTTTTAGAAGTTTTTTCTTTAATATATCATTTTTAACTATATTTTAGCACAATGGTGGGATATGCAACCTTGTGTCAATGTAAATATTATGGTAGCTAAATTTACTTCCATTTCTTATAAATTTTAAAACTTCTAATTTTGGAAGGCAACCTCTTCGACCTTCTAAAATTGGTTTTAAAGTTGATTGAAGCTAGAAATTTTATTTGAATGCTCCTTTAATAAAAAAAGAAATAATAATTTTTTAAAAAGTTATTTAAACAAATAATGTTTGTTTCTTCTATGTGAATAACAAAAAATTTCCTTAAAAATAATTTAAAAAATCTTATCCCACAAATAAATAAAAATAAACTTAAAAAAAAGAACAACAACAGCTAAATTAATTAATACTTTAGCAGAATAATTTTATATTTTCAAGTAATAATTATACCTTAGGTTATGATTATATTTTACTTTGGACCACTCATTTACCATTGAAAATCACTCAAATAGATTTTTTGTTGATGATAAGTTAAATGATAAATGGCTAAGTTCAATATGTAGAAGCAACTACTTGATAATAAAATAAATGCTTATAAAATTTCCTAAAACAAGTGGTCTAGCATGAGTTATCATAATAAAAAATTAAAAATATATATTTATGGAGAAAACACTGATGATATGTAATATATTTAGGAAGAGATAATAAAAGAGGTCCAGTGAAGTAGGGCCAATAAATGCTATTTAAACCTATGTAAAATATTCTAAAAAATCATATCATGAACGTTAAATTAAGTCAGATAAAGAATCTAGTTTTAATGAATCTCCTAAAATTCTCAAAAATTATATCATGAACATTAAATTAAGTTAGATAAAGAATCTAGTTTTAATGAATCTCCTAAAATGATTAGTTTCTCTAAGATTAACTATACTTAAGGAAACCTTTAAGATATACTCTTAATTTTTCATAATATTCTTATAGTTAAATATATTTGGGTTAACATCAAGAAAGATTACAATTCCAAGCATTATCACTATAGAATATTATATATTTTGAAAGTGGGCAATCATAAGAAAAAGGTGCATCATCATAATAAAGTAAGATAAGTATCACTATTTATTAAAAATTCAATGCAATAATTTTCATTTAATTACTAGCATAATAATAAATTAATGAAAATTAGGTAAATATCATAGCAAAAATAATAACTAGCGGCAATGACTGAGTTGGAATTTTAATATTTTTGACACATAACTGTTGTATGTAGAAATCTAAATGCAACATACATCACCCATCATACATCTGTTACTTATAAGAATAATTATTTTATCTTAGTGCAAAAAAGTACCCAAAAAAATGCAAACAAAATAAACGAAGTCAAATAAAC